TCACTCAATGAGAGAACCAAAAATAAAAAACAATTAAAATACAGAAGGACTGCTTAAGGGAACTGTAGGACAAGATTTTTCCCCCCCTAGACTTGCAATTTCTTTACTAGGGCGCTGTTCTGTAAATGCCCACATGAGGGTGGTATTGAGCCTAATCCAATACTGGGGGGTTGTTCTCTGAAAGACCAAAAGAAAGCACTTTTGAGCCTAAACCCATACCAGGGTGCTGTTCTCTAAATCCCGGCAGGAGGGTACCATTGAGCATAAGACAATACTGGGGTGTTGTTATCTGAAAACCTAATCCCTTAGTAGAGTGGGATTCTGAGAATGCCCAAGAGAGGGTGCTATTGAGCCTAATCCCTAACTATGATGCTGTTCTGAAAATAACACAACAGGTGCTATAAAATCTAACATCTTACTAGGGTACAGTTCTGAGCATGGCCCAAAGAGGGTGTTATTGGGGGAAAAAAAAAATGGTTCTGGTTATTCTGGATCCCTTAAATTTCCATATAAATTTTAGGATCATTTTGTCAATTTCTGCAAAAAAGGTAGCTGGGATTTTGATAGAGCCTGTGCTGAATCTTTAGATAAATTTAGAGTTTTGCTATCTTAACTATCAAATCTTCAAATCCTTCAACATGAGATGTTTTTCTATTTATTTAAATCTTTAATTTCTTTCAATAATGTTTTGTAGTTTGCAGAGTGCACTTTTTGTTAAATTTTTCCTACATACAACCAATTCTGGTTATTTGCAGTACTTATAAGTTACTACCAAGCCCAACCAGTATGGCTGAATGATTGAGCATTAACCCATGAATCAATAGGTCATCAGTTCAATTCCCGGTCAGGGCACATGCCCAGGTTGCAGGCTGATCCTCAGTAGGGGTTTGCAGGAGGCAACTGATGAATGTCTCTTTCCCATCAATGTTTTCTCCCTCTGCCTTCCTCTCTTTTTAAAAGAAATAACATATCTTAGAAAAAGGAAGTTGCTAAAGGTATAACTTAAAAAAAAATAAAGTTGCTACATTGAATTAGAGAGGACAGAACTACAGCCTCTATGGGAAATACAAAGTTAAATGTTTTTAAAAATTTGTTTACTGTTAATCCTCACCCAAGGATATTCTTCCACTGATATTATTATTATTTATTTATTTATTTATTTATTTATTTATTTTTAGAGAGAGAGTGGGAGAGGGAAAGAGAAACAACGTTAAATTCTTGTGAACCTCTGGTCACATTTTTGTCAGTCAAAATGCTATTTGTATTATGTGTAGGTTTGTTTGCCGGAGTCCTTGTAAAACAAGTCAGTTTCAGCAACTTTGAAAACCTGCTCTTCCACATAACCCTTTTTCCTTTTCCTGTGTAACATTTAGCAGATACTGAAAAATTCCTCCACAGTCTACAATCTGCAGAGCATGCCTCCCTGCAAGTTTAACAAGTTAAGGCAGGAGGCTTGGACTCTAATTCCAGCTCTCCTCATTACTAGCTGTAACTTTGGGCAAAGTCACTTAGAATCTTCACTCTCAAGTTCTGAAGAAAATAAGACAACATTCTGAGAACAGCGCCTTTAATAAAGGATTAGTTGCACTGGTGCCCTCTTGTAGACACCCTGAAAACTGCACTCTAGTAGGTGAGGAGTTACAATAGGGCTCTCTTGTGGACATTTTTAGAACAGCATCCTACTAAGGGATTAGTTGCAATAGTGCCATCTTGTGGTCATTCCTAGAACAGCACTCTAGTAAGGGATTAGTTGCAACAGTGTCTTATTGTGTGTATAAGACTATCGCCATGGTTCCACCTATTCAAGAGTTCAGTATTTAAAAAAAAGTTTGTATAATAATTTTAAAGCCTACAGCACCACTGGTTGTCAAAGAAAAGAGGACATGCTGAGGAAAGGGTAGTAGACTGACCAGCTAAATTTTCACATTTTCAAAAAATTTCTTCCTAAACTGGCTACACAAAAGTACAATATCACACAGGTCATTACGTTTAAAATCACATCCTACTCTAATCCTCACATAGTCATTAATCAGCTATTATGCTCTAGTAAAAACAAAAACAAAAACAAAACCCATCCTATTTGACAATTAAAACAATTACACAACATAATATTCTAATTATACTAAAAATTTCACTATATTAAAATTATTCATATTCTTTTTTATTGATTTTTTACAGAGAGGAAGAGAGAGGGATAGAGAGTTAGAAACATCGATGAGAGAGAAGCATCGATCAGCTGCCTCTTGCACACCCCCTACTGGGGATGTGTTCACAACCAAAGTACACGCCCTTGACCGGAATCGAACCTGGGACCTTTCAGTCCACAGACCGACGCTCTATCCACTGAGCCAAATCGGTTTCAGCTATTCATACATTATTGAGCAAAAAAAATAAACGATAGTATTCAATTATAACTCCCAAATTAAAATAAGTATCTATGAGTTCATATGCATAAAACACATGGTTGAATGAATGAATAAATGAATTAATACAAGAAAAGAGACAGCTCCTCTTTAAAAAACAATTTGAATCAATAAATATAAAAGGAATAAGAGAAATAAAATATCACCATTAGATCACCATTATAATTGTTAAGGCAAGATCCAGCTCTGTACACTCAAATTATACTGTTTAGGCAAAATTTCGAGAAGAAACAGGATAATTTTTTTAGACTCAGAATATCTCCCCCATTTTGTTAATTACGAAGGGAAAGACAGTAGCTTTATACTGGATAAATCTAGCAGATATCACTGAATAAAATGACCAAGGATAACATGACTAGAAATAAGGCGTATTGACATTATGTACTTTTTAATATGATGTATTTTTTTGTTAAGGCAAACTAGATTTGAAGAAAAAAATTCTATACAACTTTTCTCTGTAATATTAGAAACAGCCTTTTGCTCTTCTTTTTGCATTTACTTTTAAAAAGTCATTAAGCTATGGGAAACTTATTAGATAGCAACTGTAAGACAATCAAAATGTATTTAACTTCCATAGGTATCTCCAGGAAATATGGGTTAATAAAGAAAAGAGGACCACTCTGAATATCTATTAGCATCTATGGTAAACTCAAATTTCCTTATATTTTATTATATATGTAAGGAGGTAGAAAATATTTAAATCCCTTTTGGATGAAAGGATTCCTTAGCATCTTGATTAAGCCCTCTTGAACCAGTTCCCTTAAAAATCAAAGACAATGATGTCAGATTTATGTCTAAAAAGTAGCAAAAAGCTGCAAGCAAAAAAGCAACAACAGAGAATACATTTCCTTTTTAAATATCCATGAACATATGTGAGCATTGATCATCTACTAGGCCAAAGAGAAAATATTAATTTCAAAAATATTATACTTTGTGATTATAATGCAATAAAACTAGAAATTAATAATCAAATCAGAAAAAAAGTTTAATTGTCCTGGAGATTAGAATGTTATCTTAAATGATGGCTTGATTCAAAGGGGAAATGCCAACCAAACTCAAACCTTATGAGATGAAACAAAGCATAAGAGCTAGTGTAGGCTCTATGTTATCATTATGTAAATTAGAGAAGCCCCCCCCCCTTTTAAATATATTTTATTGATTTTTTACAGAGAGGAAGAGAGAGGGATAGAGAGTTAAAAACATCAATGAGAAGGAATCATCGATCAGCTGCCTCTTGCACACCACCCACTGGGGATGTGCCCGCAACCAAGGTACATGCCCTTGACCTGAATGGAACCTGGGACCTTTCAGTCCACAGGCTGACGCTCTATCCACTGAGCCAAACCGGTTTCGGTGGGGCTCCTTCTTTACGTAGAAAACAGACCGATGCTGCTGAACCTGTGGAGAGTCGGTCATAGGGCGATGGCTCTCAGCCCGACAGTCTGAAAGACGAGCAAGAGGCTCAGAAAAGTGAGCAAAGTGAGTTGGTAACTGTGAAAGGAAAAAATAATTTTTTTCCCTCTAAATAAATAAAAGAGGGTATTTGAGTTTTCCCCAAGATTGAAAGCAAACTTCTAGTTACTAAAGTCCTTACAAGTAGGATTTTGAAGGCCAAGAAGAGGTCTCATTTAAGGAATAAATGTTCCGTGATTGAACTTAATGTTCTCACGGTCACTTCTGTTATTTTTCTATATAACCCACTGTAGGATCTTAGCTATCTGAAATGCTTAATTAATGCCATTTTAACACGTTCTTCTGAAAAGCAACGATTAAAAACTTTTATATCGCCTGATGTAAATGACGCAGAGGCACAATTACTAAGCCGGTCTTAAAGGGGGCCTATAGTGTTTTCTACTTGAAGCTAAGAAAAGTCCCAATTTGTAAGTGTGCTGTCGAGAACCATTCAAATGCTCTCTTCTTACTGCAGAATATTTTTGAATGGACTGATTTCTGACAGTCCCCTAAAATCACACACACACAAAGCAGCACTTTTGGGGTTCTGTTTTGCAAGGATAATGATGTTCCTTTGTAGCAGCATCTCTCCTTGAGTGGAAGCAAGAAGGGATGGGGGGTCTCTCCAGGCAGGACTTTTCTCAGCCGGGCACGTAGGTGGCAGGGAAACCCACTGCGTTTGAACGAGATGAATAGAAACCTAGAGATCTCCCTGGGGTGAGGCATAGGATTAGCTCAAGGGTGATTCTGATGTATGAGTCACCGGGTAGGGGGTTCTGAGGCTCCCATTGTGACACAAAGGAAACAGAAACTGGGGATTGGCCACGAAGGTGCCGTGATGGAATAAAGACCTGGTTGCTAGGGTCAGGGGATAAATGCCAGGAGCCTGGAGGAGGAGAGATGGGGCCTAGGTCCTTTCCAGTCCCCTTTCCCACCCACCCTTCCCCCTAGGTTGTCTGAGATGTCACCTTCCACCTAAACATCATCTACCTGGTTCCAGACTCCAACTCTGGTCTCTGACTTCTGCTTAGCTCCCTCTTCTCCAACCACGTGCATAGAGGACCATCGCCTTCCTGGAATCTCTAAGGGGGCCTTCTTTCCTGGCGCCCCGGTAACTCAGCTGAGATGGAAGTGCCCTGCCTCTCCAGGTCTCCCAAGACGTCTCCCAAACTCAACCGAGACGCCTTGGGCCCTAAGACGGTCATTGCCTTACTGGAAGTGGAATCGCTTCGCCCAGCCTCCTGGAGTTCTTGCTCTTCCTTACCCAAAAGCTGCCTTCGAGAGACTAAAACACAGACTACAAAGAAGTGTGAGAAGTTACTAAAAGACATTAAGGAGAGCCTTCACAACATGAAAAGGTGCGAAAAGAAGGTCGCAAAAGCGAAAGAGTCCTCGGAGGGGGCGGAAATCGAGGAGGAGCTGTCAGAACTCAGAGAAAAAGTCAGGGGACTCGACAGAATAAACAGAACGCTGCTGAAAAGGCTGCTTTTCAACGAGCAGAGTGCGAAGAAACGGATGATGATGATGATGCTGGACAACCAGAGCTCGGACGACACGGGAGAAGGTTTGGCAAGGGATGTGGTCAGTCCTTCCGAAGAAGGAAGAGCCGTTAAAGAAACTCAACTCAGTAAGGACGAAGCAGAGCCTGGATCCCATCCTGGTGAAGAAAAAAGCACCAAGCTTCAGAGCAGCATGGAGCAGATACTCCGGGAGGCGGAGCACTGGAGCGTGCAGCACGCCGAGCTGAGCGAGCTCATGAAATTGTACCAGAAATTCCAGCACGACCTGAGAGCAAGGTCCGAGAGCAAGGGGATCCGCTTCCAAACCCCGCCGCAAAACGCGTGGGCCAACTACGAGCTGGAGACGCAGATGAGGAAGCTGAACCACAACACGCACTCCCTGCATGTGATCACGGCCTTGCTGGAGAACGAGTGCCAAATCATGCGGCACCGGGTCGCGCTTCTCAAGGAACTCCACCGCCAGAGAGACGCCGCGGCCCTGCGAAGGACGCGGGACCGGAAGGCAGAGAGGTGCAAGCAGAGCATGCCAAACACGCAAGTGACCTTTCAGATCAGAGACAGATTTTATAAAAACCCGGATTCTTGCCGTAAGAAGAAAGCCCGTAACAACAGAGTCAGTAGTTGTCTTGCAAAAGCTCTTCGGAGAAAGAAGAGGTCGGTCAGCAGGCTGAGATAGAAACCACCAAAAGCGGAAGAGAAGGCAAGTCTTAAAAACAACCCTAAGACAACTCCAGGCATCACCAGTCACCAAACCTAGGGTAGATCTGCTGGTTCAACCAAGAAAAAGCTGTGGAACAAGAAGGTGGACACATTATGACCTCGGTGGTTACGTCAGTGTGGTCTTTCACGACCGCTAGTGTCAACATCAAGTTCCTAACTTGTCATCTTTACAACCGGCTTGTTTTTGTGGTTATTAGGTAGAGATCCTATAACACGTTCACCAAGATAAAAATAAAAATAAAAACCAGAACAAAGAAAAGGTTTTTGTTTTTTTTTTCTTCTTTTTTAATCATTGCCTGGGGTTCTGGGGGGAAAACTTTATAACACTTCAATAATGAATTTTTAATGCCCACTTTGTAAATGCATCATCTCCTTTTTTCCTGTTATCCATTGAAGGGTGGGAAGTAGTAGAATTAAAAAAAAAAATGCTGACAAAACACCCCTACAGTTTTTCTCTTATAAATTTCTCCATCCCTTGAATCTACTTTCCCCCAATTTTCCTCTCAATTAGTGAAGGTAGGCTGACCGGGCAGAAGAGGGCCCTGGGGAAGGACACTGGGCTTGTTTGGAAGAGATGTCTGTCTAGACTTTGTTCTGCAGAGAAGTGCCCTCCGTGCCTTCAGGTGGTGCGATAGAATTGGCCGTGGCAGAAAGCAGTATCTTCGTTAAGGGAGCTGGACCTCTCGTTCTGGAAACTCTGGAGCAGATGCGTTTCCCTCTCTCCCTCCCATTAGGCAGGAAACACCCGGAACGTATGTGTAAAGTGGACACCAGACTCTGAGAGATGGAGAGAAGGTGAGAGACTTTCCAGTGACCCTGGGTTTAAGGAGCAGCATGGTGCTGAGTTCCCCGGGTTTTCTCTTTGTCTCTTTTATATCCCGAACTGAGTGCTTGAGCAGCCCACAACCCAGAAATGCCAATTCATTTAGACAAAATATCCCACCCCACCTCCAAGCCTGCTTTCTCTTGCCAATGGAGGAGGAAAGGGACAGAATGGTCAGACAAATCTTAGCCTAATTTGAATTAGGAATCTATGTATATAAAAGGCTAAGTGACCATCTGACCATCTGGCCAGCTGGTACGCATGACATGCATTAACCACCAGGGGCAGATGCTTAATGCAGGAGCTGCCGAGCTGTGGTGATGTGGCTCAGGTGATGCACCCTGGAAGCAGAGAGGAGGCAGTGTGGCCCGGCTCCTTTCAATGTGCACCAATCTGTGCACTGAGTGGTAAATAAGAGGGCTTCAGGCAGGTGGGGCCTATTAACTAGATACTCACTGTATCCCACTGTTTCTGAGTTATCTAGCAAAAATTTTCCTGCCACACCCTGACCAGTTTGGCTCAGTGGATAGAGTGTTGGCCTGTGGACTCAAGGGTCCCAGGTTCGATTCTAGTCAAGAGCACCATGGTTGTGGGCACATCCCCAGAGGGGGTGTGCAAGAAGCAGCTGATTGATGTTTCTCTCTCATCCTCTCATTAATGTTTCTAACCCTCTCTCCTTTCCTCTGTAAAAACATCAATAATATATATATATTTTTTAATAATTTTTCTGCCTGTTATTGCCATTTTCACTTCTAAAACATAATATCCCATTCTCTATCCTTCTCCTCTGTCCAAAAATGTCATATATCTATATCTATATCTATATCTATATCTATATCTATATCGATATAGATATAGATATAGATATAGATATAGATATAGATATAGATATAGATATAGATATAGATATAGATATAGATATAGATATAGATATAGATAGATCCAATGTTGCCTCACTGTCTTGGGAATTTTTATGCCTATGTGAATTCCCATGCACACTTTTCAAAATGATTTTCTCCTTTCAGTCTGTTAACTTGATTATTTGCCCAGCCTAAAAGAATTTAGAAGATGGGAGGAAAATATTAACATTTTTATCCCCTGCATAAATAATAATAATGTCTCTGATCTAAAAACCTCATTATGCAGTCAGAACAAAGATGAATATTAAAATTCCAACAAAGATGGGTACAATCCCCATCACAGGCTCTATTATGAATGAAGTATAGAAATGAAATTTTCATATGTTGGAAGTACTGAAAATACAATTTTTTTAATTATTTATTTATTTATTTATTTTTTTTAAATATATTTTATTGATTTTTGTACAGAGTGGAAGGGAGAGAGATAGAGAGTTCGAAACATCAATGAGAGAGAGTCATTGATCAGTTGCCTCTTGCACACCCCCTACTGGGGATATGCCCGCAACCAAGGTACATGCCCTTGACTGGAATCGAACCCGGGGCCCTTCAGTCCCCAAGCCGACGCTCTATCCATTGAGCCAAACCGGTCCCGGCTGAAAATACAATTTGAAATATTGCTTCTTACTCCATAAACCAACATTTTGTTCTCATGTTTGGAATATGAATTTCTTGATAAAAACCTAAAAGCCAAAATTCTCCTATTCCAGCCCTTAGTAAAAGAAAAACATTTCCAGTGAAATAGTATTGCAGGAACTAAAAGAATCACATGTTTTTCCATTTGCCTTTCCCTCTAATGGAAACTACAATCTACACTGTTCTATTTCCAAACATCTTTGAGTAATAAAACATTGTGTAGTTCATTTCTACACTTTACCAGATATGTGGTTGCTATTATCAAGAACAAAATTGTTACTAAAATAATATTTTTATATTGATTTCAGAGAGGAAGGGAGAGGGAGAGATAGAAACATCAATGATGAGAGAGAATTATTGATTGGTTGCCTCCTGCACACCCCCATTGAGGATCAAACCTGCCTCCTAGGCATGTGCCTTGACCAGGAATTGAACCCCTGGTTCATAGGTTGATGCTCAACCACTGAGTCACACTGGCCAAGGAGATTTTCCTATTTGTGAAATTGTTTGAGTGTCATATGATGGGAGAGACTGTATCACCATTTATTCCCATTAAAATGAATGGAAATGGCTGTACCTGATTTGGCTCAGTGGATAGAGCATTGGTCTGCGGACTGAAGGGTTTTGGATTCAATTCTGATTAAGGGCACATGTCCGGGTTTCAGGTTCGATCCCCAATAAGGGATATGCAGGAGGCAGCCAATCAGTAATTCTCTCAAATTATTGATGTTTCTATCTTTCCCTTCCTCTCTGAAATCAATAAAAAATATATTGATAAAATTAATGAAAATGAATGACAGTCATTAATTGAGGCCTAAATATTATTTTATTTGTATATTTATAAAAATTAACAATTCATTTTCTTTTTTTCTTTTTTTGTTTCTTTTAAAGGCCAGTCTCCAAGCCACACAGTGTGGGAAGTCCAGATGTTTTTCTTCTTTTATTTCTTTTTGAACAATCCATTTTGTATTATCATGGACAATATATCTTTTTTAAAATATATTTTTAATTGATTTTTTACAGAGAGGAAGGGAGAGGGACAGAAAGTTAGAAACATCAATGATGAGAGAGAAACATCGATCAGCTGCCTCCTGCACAGTGGGAGGGGGTCAGGTCCAGAGCAGAAAGCAATGCCAAAAAAATACAAAGTCAAGTAATAACTTGTTTGCCCACGTAAATAAAATAGAATCTTTGTTACCAACAAGTCAAAAATTAATGTTAATGGAACAATCTGCAATAGACTAGAGGTCATGGTGGTTTGCAGCAGATGGTGGATATACTTTCAGGGTATAGCCAAGAGGATTTACTGATTGGTAATTATGTGAAGAAAAACAAAAAAGAGTGAAGGATAATGCCCAAGTTTATCCTGAATAAGCAGACAGATAAAATTGTCATTAATCTAGGTGAAGTTTGGAGGGGACAGCAAGAGTTTAGTTTTTTATGTGCTAAAATTTAGAATGTTTTGTTTTCAAAGGTCCTTTTAAAAACTAACATTTTTATTTATTTTTTACAGAATACAGGAGGCTCAGAATTGAAATCAGAAAAATTATTAAGTGAAAGCCTACACATCTAATGGTGAAACCCAATCTTTCTTCCCTCCTTTGATTCCGAAAAAGATGGCAACCAAGATTTACGCATTCCCTGATCCCAGCCCCATGAGATTGGTTGCTACTCTGGGGAAATTGACCAGCTCAGGAGGAAAATCCCTGCAGACACCATTAATTAGAGGTTTCCCACGGGAATACCTGAGTGAGTCCAAAGTAATTCCTTACAAATCCCCAAGCTCTGATTATGAACACTTCCATCATATTGCTAATTCTACACACTATTATGGATGGACAGTTACATATCACACACTTACCCTAGGCATAGGGTTAGGCCCTGGGAGAGAGTGGAGGCCAGGAGATCACATTTGCTCCTTAGCCTCAGAATTCAGGCAAGAATTGTTCTGCATTTGTCTGTGATTCCTGGTAAACATTCTTTCAAAAATACTTGGAGTAGACCCATGTTCATAGCAGAATTATTCACAATAGCTAAAACACAGAAGCAAACCAGTGTCCGTGAAGGATAAGCAAAATGTTGTACAAACAATGGAATATTAGACTTTAAAAGAAGGAAATGCTGGCACATGCTACAACAAGGACGAACCTTAGTATATTACATTAAGTGTAATAAACCAGTCATGAAAAGACAAATACTATATGATTTCACTTAAATGAAGTACATAAAATAGTCAAAATCATAAAGACAGAAAGTAGAATGATAGTTACCAGGGACAGGATGGAGAGGAGAATGGGAAATTAGTGTTTAATAGGTATAGAGTTTCAGTTTTACAAAATGAAGAGAGTTTTGAGATCCTGTGCAGGAAAATAGACTCAACATGTGACTGTACATTTATAGCCCTTGCACAGGCTGAAGTTAGATTTGGAGCAATAAAACTTGGGGAGGGAGGAACCTTTCTTATAGGACGGTAATGGGGTTTGTTATGCTAATAAAAAGAAATTTGAAAGTGAATAAAAGAGCCGAGGCTGGTTTGGCTCAGCGGTAGAGCATCGGTCTGAGGACTGAAGGGTCCCAGGT